ATTTTTACCTTTTTTGGCAAATCGCTTGTATTAAAAAATATATGTATTTTTATAAGGTCTGATAATTTTTGACCGCCTGAATGAATGCTTATGATTTCTAGTGCTATAATGCATTCATTATGAAAACCCGCAATTTTTTATTTTCCATTTTCATGAAGAAAATTTTTAGATCTATTACGTTTTCTAAAACGTAACGTTTTCTTCGGGCGAGGACGGTTCCTTAAGTCGTAATCAAATTGCTTCAATTTCGAAGAACACGAGGTCTTCAAACTTTGTCATATTTTTTTTAAACGCGCTTTTAAGTTTTTGATATGCATATCATATTTATTGCTTAGCAAAACATTTGCTAAATCTCAATAGTAACCAATTTATCTGGTTCAACTATTTGAAAAGTTTTGACTCATTGGCAAAACTCGCATTGACTTAAAAGTCTCGTAGTATTATGTTAATATTTTGTCACAATTTTTCAAGTTGTCATTATTTTCAAATGACGATTACTTAAAATAATTAATAACTAGTGGTCCTTAAGGTCAAAAAGTGTCTTAAACCCTTACCGACTAAGACTAGATATATATTTATAAATATTTACGATTAAGTAATAATGATTGGTAAAAAAAATATGGCAATATTTGAATGGAACAACACATCTTAAATTCTAAAAAGATCCAATAGTTATATACTCTATGATAAACTTTTGGATAATTGTCATGCGCTTGTTTCAAAATTTAACCTTATGTACTATATAAGATAACATCAATATTTTATTTTGATTTTTTTACTCATTTTACTGCGGAGATTATAATTTGCAAAATATATATCCAATAAAGCGACGATTATTTAGAGCACGATTGACAACGTCTTCGCTTAATAATGTATTAAAAATTTAAAATACAAGAGCAAGGTAAAATAAGGATGATATTTTGGTGTAAATCATATAATCGTATGTATAAAACTTTTATTAGCCTTATTAAACATTGTGCTATATAAAATACTTTCGTTGGAATGGCAATTTTGTTTGATGGAAAAGCTAATGGTTTCGTCCTGTTTACTACCTATACTAAACATAAAATTTTGGTATCATATAAAATAAGTATGCTCTTATTATTTGATAGTTTAGGTTCTATTTTTAACTTTCAAAAGAATATTTCAAGGTAAAAAAATAGAATTGTGCAAGCAGTAGTAAAAAATTAATCGTTCAAGTTTACCACATTTTCTATTGATGCTTATATCGTGTAACATTTTCTTTCAATTATTATATTTAAAGACACATTAGTATTTATTATAATTCGGTATTGAAACTTACTAATTATAAATTTTGGTATCAAGTAAAGATTTAGAGAAGCTCTTAAGTAAAATTTAAAAATATTGTAAATTTTTTGAGCGAAAGACGTTGCCACATTTTTATCACTCGAAGCAACTTCGAAAATAATTATGCAAAAGATATACATTGCAAAGACCATAAACAATTTATTAGGCCAAGAGTATAAAACTCTTATAATCAGAGAATCAACACAGTTTATAATATTTTGGTACGTACTTAAAAATCGTGAAAAATAACGTTTTCTTAAAATGGCAACTTTGGTTCACAAAAATTAACGCTTTTATTATAGATTACTAGTAAAATCAGTTTGGAATATTTTAAAAATACATATTAACACGATTAATTAATTGTCAATATTGATAATTTAACGATCATATGATAACACTGTTTTTGGTAATGAAAAATATAGGCTTTACGACAACCTGCTTACTACTACTTTACGACTGGAATATTTTGCATGTGCAATTGGCACGAATTTGAGTACTTATGAAATTATGTGAGAATGAAATAACTTAGTAAATAATTTGTATACTTGTGCAACAGCAGTACTTTAAAAATAAATTATAAAGGAGACCGAGCTACGCAAAAAGCTGTGCAAAAATGTGCTTATATGAGAATCCCAATATAAAAATATAAAAATCAGAAGAAGTCTCTTGCTTGGTATAAAAGTATACTCTAATTAATAAATCATTTTTGATAATTATATGAATAAAGAAAATAGATGATAAAATTTAAACGGTAGTTTACTTGGTATGGTTGTCGATTGGTTTGAAAATTGTTTGTGATGATTCTTATTATTAACAAATACTAAATACTTTGTTGGTCCACATGAAAAGCTCCTCTACTATTTTTACGTACTAGATATAAACTGCAACCAAATTAAAAACGTTGTGTTTGATGCCTCTGAAAATACTAAAAAAAAATATAAATTAAAATGCAGTAGAATTAATAAAAAAAAATGTGGTAAATTTGTCTTGACCATGAAATTAGGCTGGCAGACATTAATCGTCAAAGTATTTTAACCTCTGTATTGTTTTTAAGAACAACATAATCAAATCCAAATTAATATCCATTTCAAAACATTTTTTTTTCAAAAGCATCAAAGACCTTACGGTAAAGTGGGAATGATGATCTTAAGTCCTAAAGTTAACGATGAAATTTTAAAAACATTTTCTGTCTTACAGGCTAAAATACAAACAACATGCCTTAAAACTACATCTTTGCCAAATTCACAACTATATAATAACTAACATTTTGAAATCTCATCATAGCACATAATATTATGTAATGACTGGAATGTTAATAGCTTTTTGTAAGTTCGTACAGCCTTATATGGATATGTAACCTCATCTCGTCAACGTTGGCAACACTTACATCAGGTAACACTAATGTGTTTGGTGATGCTAATCATTCCAAAGACAGGTATTGGACTGAGAGTCAACTGCCCAGAGAAATATACTCAGGAGAACAGAAAATGACCAAAGTCAACTTGCTGCCTTTTTTGTTGGACTTGCGTAAAAGTGTTGACTAAGAATTGAACAATTTTTGAACAAGTGACCATAAAACATTGTCTTTAATTTGATAAAATATGTTATGTATCTTGGCTACACTTTTCTTAGTGTATTTCTATCCTGACAGGGCAGTAAACACTTGGTCCAATATTCTATGTCCATGTTTCTAATCAAATTATTAAAGTACGCCTAGTAATATCTATGAATTATAATAATGCAATTATGATTATGCAGTTATATATTTACAATAAAAAACAAATTTTGATTGACTCTCAGCTAAAGTCTTTAGGTTTGAAATTTCATGGTGTTTACTTAAACCAAATATTGAGCATTTTTATTGCGTTTTAATAATTAATATTCCCAAATTTTTGCTTTTGAAAACGCCGATAAAAATACACAATTTGGAGCAAGCTAAGTTCATAAGTACTGTGAATTGACATACGTTTTATAAGGATTTAATCTCATTAATAGGAAAGCTACAAAGAAGTGGATGTGCAAAATTTTAAGGTCGTTTTTGATATACTTACATCTGAAATAATTAATATTTTCTGATACTATTATCAGAAGAAAGAAGTAATTTATATGACGCAGTATGGGACTAAGGCATATGGCAATGAAAGATTCAAATAATAACACTAAATGTAACCTCAATTAAATAATTTTCTCAACAAATGTTTGATTTGTGCATTTTTAATTCGTAAAAAATAATTTCATAGCAAAACGATATTAATTATCAAATAACTAATTTGTAAAAAATAACTACAATCTCCTTTGCTACGAAGAAGGAGTTATCTTTTTTAAAAAATTGGCATGCTTAACTGTACACGCCAATATAGTATAAAAATTGTACCAAATGTTATTGTAATAAGTGCAAAAAAACACGGTGAATTCATTTTGTACTGAAACAAGTGACGTAACGTTGGCAAACTAACTATAAAGTTAATTTCGTATTAACTTAGATAATAGGCTAAAAACAAAACTTATCTCAGTTCTTCTCTGAACTGAGACAATTTTAGCAGTCCATGTGTAAAAGCTTAAAATTACGCTTTAGAGCAATTATATACTTAATCGTAATATAAATGTATCTTAACTATATAATAAATTATTAGTCGACTAGAATCAATTCCATTTCAAAAGAAATCTGTGACATAAGACAAGACTAGAATTGTTCTTAAACAAAATCACAAAATATGTAATTTTGATATTTTAAAATATAATAAGGAACGATGTGAAGCAGAATGAAATTTCATTGGAAAAATCACTCAATAATAACACAAAACAAACAAACACAAGAATAAATCCAAACATAAATTTAACTTCGGTTAAAATCGCCAAATACATAATGTATCAACAGAAATAGTCGAAACAGAAATAAGCACATAGATTATCGATATGGCAAGGTAGAATATCGGGAATATATAGTAGCTAGAAAACTATAAATTTAACACACGATATCAAGTAACTATAGTAAAAATGGTAATTTTATACAAAAATACGTATATACAAAATTTAACAAGAAGAGACACTTGAAGTTTAGAACTGGATTCAGTGTCTGTAAACCCAGAAGTAGAGATTATCGCGGTAATTCATCTTCCTTACTTCTAACATATTACCTCATTCTTGGATATCTTTATATAGAAATCTTACACAATGTAAGCAGTTACATCTTTTTATTCTTGTAGTAATATCTTGATTTAAAGATGACTAGTTTGCTCAAAGTACTGATATATCATTGCTCAAGTTTATAATCCAATTGGTGGTACTTGGACATACCTATAAAAATATATCATACTATAAATTATCTGAAGCACAACTACTTTTTATATTTAAGGGAAGGTTTTTAGATTGGTTCGTCGTAAGGTAACTCGTGTAAGCAAAAATATGCCAGGTATCAAATAATTATTTAATCAATAAATAAGCAAATCTTACCTATAAATGTAAAGTCGGTAGTCCTTGCTAGCCAAGACGACGCTGCCATCGTCCATCAGCGCAACATCAAAACATTGGGCGTGCTTGACTTTGCTCTCAAGCGCCGAAACCAATTGACCATCCTGAGTGAATACAGTCAAGTTGAAGTTGTTGTGATTGTCCGCAATCAGAATCTCTCCAGCAGCATTTATTCCTACGCCAATGGGGTAATTGGTGATGCCTTCGCCACCGATTTGTCTCAAGTACCCCCCTCATAGTTGAACACTTTTACGCAATGCGCACGATTGTCGGATATGAAAATTTCTTGTTTGTCGTTGACGACAACACCATTCGGGAATTCCAGGTGCTTACTGCAACCGAATTTCTGCAAAACGTTGCCCGTTTGGTCGAAAATTATCACGCGCATTACCTGTAATAATTAATTAAAATAAATTATTAGCAAATATGTTAAATAAAATTTATTTTAGTATCTCTCATAATTTACCTTGCATTCGACAACAATGATTCTTCCTTTATTGTCAACAGTTACGCCCCTTGGATGCTGTAAGATACCTGCGCCAAATTTGCGTACAAATTGACCATATTGATTGTAGATTTGCACCTGCAATAATAAATTATTATTACTCAAATTAGAAGGAGACCGTACTATAAACTAATAGCATCTTACAACCAATAATATTTTCTATACGCGACAATTCATATTATTTGGGGTTTGACATTCGACACAAACGAAAAGAAAAGATGTTTTAAGCAAATGGAATGCAGTTTGTTTATATTGATGGTATAAGATATATTGGATATTAATAGAAATTGGAATGTCGAATATAACCCAGTATATCTATATTTAAATACAATTCTATATTCTGATTCTTACCTGATGTGTAGGTGATCTTTCGGTTACAATAATATCTCCAGAAGCACGTACTGCTGCAACGCGGTTAGGATACAATAATTGACCATCTCTTTTACCACATTCACCAAATTGGAATTTAAATCGACCTTCACGATCAAAAATCTGCACACGGTGGTTGTTTGTATCAGCCACAAGAATATCATTTTGAGCATTTACAGCCACACCACTTGGTTCTGTGAATTGACCTGCATGGAATGAAAAATATGGTTAAAATGTTACCATTTTAATGAAAATATTTCAAAAATTAATTAAAAGTATATTTTAGTTAGAAGTTAGTTACCTTCCATGACGCCAAACTCTCCAAATTTGCAATGATAGATCATCTTTTGTCTTTTGATTTGAGATTTCGGTGGAAACATAGTTGCTGACATTAGTTTTGTCGTTAGTTCTAAGACGTTAGTAGGCTCAACAGAGCTGAGGATGCTGTTTGACCCTGGTGTTGGTGGCCCTAAAAACAGAATAAAGTTAGTTGCAATGATTGGAAAATGTATCACAGAAAGAAGAGAGTGGCTTAATAATTGATTTTAAAATATTTGGTACTTGATTACAACTTCAAATTCAATCTATTAAAATTATTAGAATGTCCTATTATACTATTATCATTCCAAATTATTATTATTATGACAAATCATTGAAATGTAAGTATTTACCTATTGTATAATGATCAGAAAAAACGCTATCGCATCCTCCATTAGACCATTTTTCGTATGGATTGAGATCCGTCATAGTAGTTGAAAATGGCCCCAAACTATTTGCTGTATTAAATCGCTTGGATATAATGTTGCTTTCATATCCGTTATTTGATTGATGTACTTGCTGTTGTGAAAAAGGTCCATTAGATGCACTGTGCAATGCGTTAAGCGCGTTCAGAGAAGCCAGGTGCTGCTGATGGTGAGAATTTGAATTTAGGGAGCCTGAGCTACCATTCAAAGATCCGGCGCATGATGATGAATCGGAAGAAGATGATGCAGTGTGGCCCACACTGGGACGAGCAATTGGCAGCTTTTTAGTATGATTTCCAACATTCACTGTCTGTTGATTGTTACTTGAAGCGTCCGAAGTGGAACGAATGTACCCAAATGTATTTCGTACCCCAACCTAAAATGAATAATAAAAATGAAAAAAAAAAAGAATTTGTGTTTCGATAAAATAAGGTTAATGCATTTAAAATTCATCATGCCAAATACTTGTTCTAAAACAAATTCTATAAATTACCTGGATAGCTTGATAATTAGAAACGAACTCTAGATCTTGCTGACTGATAGGGGAGCTGATGGCTAACTCTCCAGCGGTACAAAGCGAGTTCAACTTCTGATCGAGGAGTTTTCGAAACACCAAAACTTCTGCAACAGTTGCGCGTCTGGTAAGCTTGTCTACAAATTCACATGCTTGTTGTATGCGATCTGCAGCTTCATTTCCTGTGCGAGCAAGCGAAGCAAGTGCTGCTTGTTTGGAAGCCGAAACCGACTCAAGTTCACGTAATAATTCTTGTTTGCGTTCTTCCAACATAGATCTATTAAATAAAATTGATTTAATTGAACAAATGTTGTTTAACTTCCCGAAGGAGAAGTTTATGTTTTCATCAAAAAATCTGACTCGCTAATTTCATGTTTTCTCGACGTTTCAAGCCATTCTGAATCGAATGAGACCAAATTTGGAAAAAGTATGTGTGTGTGTGCGTGTATGTGAACAGATTTTTTGCCGTAAATCGACATTTTAAAAGCCATTCGATGTATCGCGATGAGAACTAGCGTTTATCAATTTTGCGCGACGGTCAGCCAAGCCGTTTCTTTGTAAATAGCAGAAAAGTGAAAAATTTTTCGTCCACGTTTTAGCCTGCAGTTCTGAATCGATTTTGAAAATTCAAAAACCGTTCGAAAGATATTGATTGGGAATCGTGCTGATTAGTTTTTGGTAAAGATCGGCCGGGCCGTTTTCTTGTAACAAAGTGTTGAAAATTTTTTTTCGACGATTTTTATGATTTTTTTTACAGTAGATACCATAGTCCTCTAGATCATACTAAAATATTACGGCCCTACGACAAGCCGTTTTATTTTGAAAATTCTTCAAAGTTTGTAAAAATTAGCATAGTTTTTTTGGCATTTGTCAAAATTAGACCTTTGATCGACGTTTTCTCAAAAACGCCTGAATCGATTTCAGAAATTTAAAAGCCATTTGATGTATCTCAATAAGGACTATCGTTTGTCAGATTTGTGAGACGATCTGCCGAGCCTTTTCTTTGTAATTTGAAAAAAAGTGTTAAGCTTTTCGTCCACATTTAACCTCAAACTACCAAACTGATTTTAAAAAATCAAAAACTGTTCGAAAGATATTAGTTGGGAATGATACTGATCAGTTTTAGGTGAAAATCTACCGAGCCGTTTTCTTGTAATTAACTGTTGAAAAAAAATTGAAGCCGATTTTTATGGAACTTCTTTTGACGATATAATAGGTTGTCAAATATCTCCCTCCCGCCTTTTTGTATTATAAACCAAGATCAAAAAAGCGGAAGGGAGATATTTGACAACCTAATACATCACGGTCTTATAAAACTTACTGAAATATTGCGGCCTTAGGACAAGTAGTTTAATTTTAAAAATTCATCAAAGTTTGAGAAAATGAGTAGTTTTGTTATAATCAAAATTAGACTATTTACTTGGTATAACGATTACTTGGTCTTTGTGAACATACTAAAGCATTAAAGTCTTACGGAAACTGGTTCAATTATAAAATGACTGATTTTTGAAAATTTGCTTTTAGAAAATACTCCGAATTAACGTGTTCATTCGTTTTCAATTATGTGTAATAAGTCGACTCGGAATACTTTTAATCACTTATAAATTAAATTATTTTTTATTGATTAAGTCGATTATTTACACATATCGGGAAGTTTATGTAATTTGCCTCAAGGCTAAATACCAAACCAACTAGTTTTATTTCGAGACTTATAGTGAGTACATGCATATGGGTAATTTAATTTGAAGTTTTATTTACATTATTATCATCTGCTATCGCACTTCAATTTATAGATCAGAAGTATTGTGTAAATTGGACTACAATCATCATGCCATCAAGAATTATAAAAATGACTGATTTTTGAAAATTTGCTTTTAGAAAATACTCCAAGTTAATGAGTTTGTTCGTTTTCAATCATGTGTAATAAATCCACTCGGAATACTTCTAATCACTCATAAATTAATCTATTTCTTATAGATTAAGTCGATTATTTACACACATCGGGAAGTTCATGTAACTTGCCTCAAGGCAAAATACCAATACCAACTAGTTATCGTTTTTTTTACTAACCTATAAAATTGGAAGGTATCATTAATCTCATCAGCTGCTTTACGTTGTTGTGTCCGACAGGACATCTGTGCATGTTCTGCACGTGTAGCATGAGCGCGCATGTCCTGCGCCCTGTCTCGCGCCTGCTGCGCGCTGCGTAGCAACTCGGCGAGTTGCCTGGGACCTGCTTCTTGGAGCGGGGTCATCTCGTGGGATAGATGTTCGCCACTGCTGGCACACTCTACGCAGGCGGGAACCAGGCATGGCTGGCAGAACAACGTGAATGACTGTTGCTTGTGGCGCGGGCAGGTGCCTGTTGTTCCGTTACCGGTCGCTGCTCCTAGCAAACGGGAGCCTAGTGCGCTTAAGCTCTCGGATAGTGGACCTATAAAATTTAGAATTTATTTATTTATTTAATTATTTTATAAAGAAGCCCACAGAATAGCTCCAAGAAGATTTAAAAATACAATTATGATACATTATATAGATATAATCATCATGTAAATGTTCATAAAATAACAAAATTAAAATAACAAAAAACAAATAAAACATATTTGAAAAGAAATATAAAAACTAGTGGAGCGCATAGCATCATGCCTTACGGCAAATTGCTGGAACTTCCCGTACCAAAAAAAAAATTTTTTTTAAAGATTAACATTTTTGAAAAAAAATTACTCTAATAAATTAGATTTTTGAGAAAATATAAATTTTTGACAAAAATTTACTTTTTTGAATAAAAGTCTTTTTGAAGAAAAGTGTATTTTGAAATATTTTGGAGATTCTGAACTTTTTTTCAAAGCAATCGTACTGCTTTAACTGCATAGACACAAAATGTCAAAACGCGTAAGCGCCGCGTCGTCGTCTAACGAATAAACATTGGTACGGAACCCATAGGAATGCAAACAAAATGTATACCTATTGTTAAAATCTTTATAAAATATCTGCTAATTTGATGTGCATATGTCTAATGATCATTTTTGACCGCCAAATGGCATTTTTTTTACTTTTTTGATTAGATCTCCGAAACCGCTAGACCTGCCTTCATGAAAATTTGATCAATTCTCCATCTTGTCAATTCAAGTAAAACGTTTTTTGAATTATTAAAATCGGACGCTCCGTTCTCTTAAAAAGTGAGTTACCGTTTTTGCCACTTTTTGCCCCGTACCTTCGGAACGGCTAGACCTGCTTTTGCATACATACATACACACATACAGATCCATTTTTTCTGAGGTATGCCAAAATGTTCAGAAACCTTCAAAACGTCGAGAAATGTAAAAATTTTCAATTTCGATTTTCGGCCCATTACAATAACTTACCCTACGGTAAGTTAATAATAAATCATATTTCAATAGAAATATAAAGATTGAGTTGAGCGGATGGAAATCATTCGATCTAGTGTAGTATTATGAATATCAATGTCTTTGTTAATTGAGTTAAAGTTAGAGGACATAAGTAAAATATGTGAATTTAACAGAGAATTCAATTTAGAAATGGAATAGCTGTGTTTGTGAAGATAATTTAGGAACGTTAGACGATAATTGGCAAAGAATTTGAGGATAGTCTACAGAGGTTATATAGGAACAGAATATTACACTAAAGAAATACTATCTATGTGTGGCAAGAGATGATATGCTGAATCCATTAGCCAATGTGCTGTGCTCTAAGCCCCGTTCAGGGTAAATTTTATGCATTTTGAAATATAGATATTTTAGGAATGTACGTCAAACCTTCTCCCTCGCATCGGAGTTATTGATGAAATAAAATTAAATAATAAAATTCTTTACAGTTCCTTAATATTAATCCAAACTATTTATGAGCTTTGTTGCAAGTATTAGATATGTTGTATGTAAAACACAAACCAGAGTCAAATAAAATGCCTAAGTCGTGTATTTTATCACAAGCAGGTGTTAGAGATTTGATACTTCAAATGTATCGGAACTCGCTTATGCGTAAAACTAAGAATTTTATATATTGAGATATTTAGATCAAGTTTGTTATAAACGCACCAAGACTGGAATGAATCAAGTTGAGACTACAACACTAAGCAGTCTATAATTGAGATAATTTTGAGATATAATTTTAGATTATCTTCAAACAATAGATGAGGATAAATGATGTTTTCAAATATATCGTTATTGAAAATATTAAAGAGTAGTACCAATAATGGACTCTTGAGATGACAGTTGCAAAATTGCTCAATGGCTGCACTTATTTGAAATGCAATAAGAAAAATTTTAATGGATGAATATATTTTTAAATATAATTGGTTTTTGCTTTATTTAATTATATCTCAAAGTTATCAAGTCATTCGACGTTTTGCTACTTGATCTAAATAGGTCAAACATGATTCTGCTTCCTACTCTATAAATTACCTCCTGGGATAGTTGTGTCCTTACTATCCGCTACATTGAGTACTCGATGTCCTTCAAAGCAATGCATAAATTGGTGAGCCATTACGCAATTCGGGCACAAGTAATTTGAACAGTCCAAACAATGGCCAACGGCGTTCGACTCGCGGCTCTTGCAGCCAGTGCAACGGTATCCGTTCTGATCTCCAGTAAATTCCGACTGAGTTTGCTTATTGTGCAAAGACTCTAAAGCACCCAGTTGATCTGGACTATGAAGATGATTTGAAAAGTTCCTGAATGTAGTGCTTTGATCGTTAGGAGACTTGAACAGATTATCTTGGGTTGGGTCGCCGAATTTCACAGAGTAATCCGTTGAGGAGAATAAGTGATCGAAGTTACTTGAGTTGTCTGAAAATTCGATTGTTGTAATTATCACATTTTTATACCTTACATCAGTGATTCCCAACCTTTTTTGGACCCTGCTCCACCATGAAGCATTATCCCATGTTTATAAAACTTCTAGTTTTTATTATCAAAAACTGAATCAGGCAAAATTTTACACCATCATATTTTTTTTAAATTCAAGGGTTTTAATCGGATGGTTTATGGTCAGGACTAGTTTCTTACTACATTTAGACTATCCCAGGAAATCTAAAAACTCATTTGAAGCAATCTAAGAGTAAAAGCCGCACTTAGTTGCCAACCTAGTAATATTTAAAAATCACTTTGTTTTATATTAATTACATCTTTAGCTATAGTTACTGACAGTGAACCTATTTTTTTGGTAATTTGAAAATGTAAGCTTAGAATAATTAGTAAAGGGTTATTGGAACCCTTAGAATTTTTGAATTTCACAGCATTCTATTTCATAATATTTAGTTTTATACAAACATTTTATCGCATATATCATTTTTAGATTATGATGGGTAGTTGTAATTTTATTATGAAGTAATGAGAAAAATGTAAATTTAAATTGAACTTTTTAAAAAGTCGGTCAACCCGGTAGAAACAACTTAACTCCGGCATCAGAAAAGCAACGTTGAAAACCAGGACTGTCCTGACCACGCCGGGACACCTTAGTTAGTCCGAAAAAGCATTTTTTGGTAAATGTCTTACCGATACTATAATATAATACATCACATCCAAATCACCAAAATTTTCAAATTGCCCCCATGAATTTACAAATTGCTCCCCGGTGGGGCGAGCGCTCCACGTTGGGAATCACTGCCTTAGAGTATAAGTTCAATTTATAAAGAAAAACATAGATTTTATAATATATTGAAAGTCAATCAAAGAGTTTAAGTCAATTTTAAGTTTCTACAAATAAATATTAATAAACTTACAGTTTTCTAATTTCAACAACTGATTTGTGTCAAAAATAGCGTCGTCGTCGTTAAGAGTTCTAGTACTGGTCTGTGAACCGTTGTCTTGATCAAAAATTGTATTATCTGTTCTGCTCAGTAGACTATCAGAACTTGGCGGTGAAGCACTACTATCGCTGGAGAACGAGAACGAGTCTCCTCTCGTTTGATGGTGCAAATGGTGACCACTTTGGCTTATGTGGTGCTGGATGTGGCGACCGTGACGGCCGCTGTGCGACGAGTCACCTGACAACGACTCTAAGGACGGCGTCCTGGTGGCGTCGCTGCTACTGCTATTACCAGAAACTGCGCTGGCGGCTGCGCTGGCGGTCACTGTGGCTGTCGCGGCCATATTGGCCTGCTAACACCACATGTCTAGAAAGAAGATACAATAATATTAAAATTTAGTATATACAATATAATTATTAGGAATTTTGGGCTGATTTGAACTCCAACTCTATTGAAGAAAGTTTAGGCAAGTATACATCACAACTAGGGAATGCAATACCGATGGAAAATTTAAATACCGGTATTTTGGTAATTTTTCATTTTAAAACCGGAATACCGGTAAATTACCGGTATTTTTATTATCTTTATCTTAAACAAACGTAAACAAATTGAAAGTTACTAGTACAAATATAAAAAAATCTATATACAACTACAACTATATTCAACTAAACAATAAAAACAATAAAATAAAATAATAAATTTATTGTTTTAAATAATAATTCAACAAAATTATATCCAATTTAATTAATTCATTATCACTATCGAGTATATTGAGTACTTTTCACTAAAAACAAACTTATGAGTAAGAAAGACCAAAAACTCATAAAAGATCATATTACATTATTATAATAAACTGTATTCTCTGTATCCGATGTATAAAATTAGCATATTCTCCAACATTTAAAAAAAAATATTTTTCTATACTAATTTAAGATCGGATACTTTGCCGAGATAAATAATAAGTTACTATAATTGTTGAGTAGTGTTATTTAAAACAATGTGATGCTTCTATAGTATTTTCAAACTTCGAAACGTTTTCAAAAAAATATTTTATAATTGTAATAAGAAGCAAAAATATTTAGTAATTATCATAATTATTATGTATAAAGTTATAAAAAAAATAAAGATTACGCAGGGGTAATATGTATGATATAAAAGATTTTGGCGCAAATATCACTTAAAAAACTGTTACATTTTTACATAAGATGAAACAAACACCATTATCTATCAGTTCAATTCTATTCATTGTAACATGATATGTAGCCCTTAGTAAAGCAATAAATATTCAGTTTAATGACGAGTTGAGATAATATTTGACATTTGTTCATCTTATATAATCACTTGAATATATAGCTGTTTATGCAATTATGGAATTTAAAGATAAATTTGTTCCGAAAAAATTAAACTTTAATGTATTATGTATCAAATAGCGCCTATGTAAAAGTACCGAAATTACCGGTATTTCTGGGTTAAATACCGGTAAAAATACCGCCAAAAGATCAAGCGGTTTACCGGCAATTTGGTACACCGGTATACCGGTATTGCATTCCCTTTCACAACATAAGAATGATTTCTGTCATGATAGTACTCTAAGAGTAAATAGTTCTGCATCGTTCTGTTTAAATATAATTTTATTGTTTAGAATATATTAATTATATTGTAAGCTATAAAAAGTATAAACATAAATTATAATTCGAAAAGGGTTATCGGCCCAGAATTTGATATTACTAGTGCTATAAAACATATTACTATTTAATTATTCATTAAACTCTTGAAATTTGCATTTGTTTATGACAGCAATGTACAAATAAATAATTATCTCGATTATCATAATGTTAATTTAAATTACAGTCATAGCATGCAAAATAATAATGGCTGAGCAAGTCATAAAATATACGGAAAATTTATAGCTGTTATTCCGTCACCAACCAAACAAAAATATGAACATAAACCATGAAAATTATGATGACGGTTTCTCATATATGAGAGTTTGATCGTAGTTTGCAAAGTTGTAAAGTTGCCCCACAAAGTTGAATAAATCTTTTAAAAGGTTCGCATTAATTTGAGCGTGGCCCTTTTAAGCTCACAAGGACATCTGTCTATCAGAAAAGCTTAGGGCAAATCCTTTCCAAACATGATAAAAAACGTGACTGTCGGGAATGGAAGGAAATGTTTGGTTATTGTTTATGCATTTTAATTTTGTATGTTTATTCACATAGAAAGAGATAATAAAAGTTATAGATATTTATTTATATATATATATATATATATATATATATATATATTCGATAAAAATATGATTTTTATGAGATGAGCCCGAAATATCAGTTACTGATATGGCAATTATATCAATTACCTTATGTTACCATAATATATGCAAAAACCGAACAGATTTTACTATTGCTAAAGTTAATGGTGCGACTAATTTTTATCATTCAGATTAGTACAATTTTCGATAGTTTTCTGCAGAAATGAATTGAAAATGATATATTTTGTTATGCAGTCACGTCAGCATGCAGAGCACATTAATTTCATTCATAACTTCTAAATGGAATTTTAATGGCTCATTTAGCTAGGATATTGCTGCAATGCGCAAATTCAAACTGAAAGGTAAATATCTGAGGAAGGAAGTGGAAAAAAATTATAATTTATTATTAGTTTTTTAATATATTTGAAGCAATATTAAATTTAATTTACCTTTTTCCAAGATATATGTTTTAATAAATCAAAGCTTTTAATATGAGTGAACTACTATTCTTTCTGATTCTTATATTCCATAAGTGAATAATTTTACATTTGTATTTTTATTTTGAATTTAAAATGAATAAATACAAGTATTTGTAATGCAAATCATAAAATTTTAAATATAAATCAATTATTTTAATATCTTCTTTGCATTCGAAAATAAGCAAAGAGACCTGTTGTGTAAAACTTTAACTGTTTAGAAGTTGTTTCTAAGAAAAATTCATGTTAACAAAATTCCTAGTGCTGATTATTTTTATTCGGATCATAATTGTTTCTTGCTTTTGTTCATTTAATAAGTAAATAAACTAGATAATTCTATCAATTAACAAAATTAATAACAGGTATGATAAAGTGTATTAAAAATACATAATCGACTGCGTAAAAATCACTCCTAAAACGCTCGTATATTTTTATTAATAAAAGTTATACAATTTGCTATATTGTCAATCTCACCTGGAGTATATTTATATTTTATATATTTAATAATTGAAATCCATGAAGATTACCATTTTAATCAAATTCAGGGAAACATGAATAATTGACCAATTGATTAAGATTTTGACAAACTAAAATTCAATATAAAATAAAGAGCATTTATCTAAGATGGGCTATCGTGTTTTACTAAAAAACAATTTTAAAACGTTCGTTTATTTTTCTTTAATAAAAGTTGAATAATTGTTTGTAATTTTACCTTACTTTTAATAATTAAAATGTTTTGAGATTACAATTTTAAATAAATTTAGGGAAATATTATAAATAACTTCTAGACGACGTAGAATCTTTAACTACTATTTATACCTTATACGTTATTTATAATTACCTTTATATAATGCATTGACCTAAATTTTCTTATGCAAAAGTAAAAAGGCAAAGATATTATTGAATTAATATTATAATATAATATTATTTCATTAATTTTTTTATAAAATATACTGAAAATAAAATTAGATTTTTATTATTGCACAACTAGAATGAACTTATATGAAAAATAGATTATTAGTAGATAAAGTTTTATTTTCATAATGAATAATTTGTAATCTATAATCTATGTTTGACGCACGAAAAGTGATGACGTTAGTGAAGCTTTTCAAAATCAAAAAAAAAGTTTAAACAACTTTTAGTATAAATTATTGAATAATTCGCACATGTGTCGATGTATTACATTTCTGGTCCCATTCTAGCCCACATTGAGCCCCCAATGGGTCTCGTTCTGACGCAAATATCGATTAACTGCCCGCGACTGTCTGCACCGATTGTGACGCGAATAGCACGTCAAATTCAAATTTGTTACATTGGATTACAGGATGTAAATTACAGAAAGTTCGTATGTTTCGTAATGAAATAAAGTGCAAACAGGCTAAAATAGAAATAATCTGATTACCGGACTAGTCAACTCTGCGTGGGAGTGTATATATATATATATATATATATATATATATATATATATGTATATATTATATTAAAAATTCGAATACCTAGGATCCACAAGAAAATCTTTTCGTTTTTCATTTATTTTACTAGTTCATAAGCTCTACGCTCTACCTTAGCTATGAAGAGATAGTTGTAAACTCAATTATTATTTTAAAACTATATTGAGAGAAACTGTTTCAATAATAGCTTCCACATTAAAACTATAAGCAACAAAATGTTAAACACAATTAGAACGATTTTGAAATGAGAATCTATTTTAACACATCTCTACAGAAACACTTCATAAATTTAATACAACATTCTATCTAAATATAATCATCAGATATTTTTATAGTACTTTTAAAAAAGGCTACTTCAATTAGATGTAATGAAATTTATAACTAATGTTAAGTTTTTACAAAGGGAGATGATAGTGCATTTTTTACAGGAGGGCTTTTCAACGTGAAAATTTACTACAACTTTCTATCAAAAATTTACTTAAACTAATATCTAATATATATTGTCAGATATTTTTATAATAATTTTAAAAAAACATACTTCATTCAGATGTAAATCCTAGCAAATTAATAACTAATGTTAAGTTTTTACAAAGAGAGATAATAGTGCTCTTTTTACAGTAGGCCCTTTCAAAGTCGAAATTTAATACAACTTTTGTTTTGAAATTCACTTAATCTAATACTTAGTATTTGTCGGCTGATATTTTTAAAGTACTTTCAAGAAAAAAAGTACTTTAACTGGGTGTAAATCCTAGTTAATTTATAACTAATGTTTAGTGTTTACACCTGGATGTGATATGCGAATTTAATATTTTTATCTGGTTTGAATTGTTGAATTTACTTATTAATCAAAATATTATAGCTTAATAATTTAGTGTTTTATTTAATTTATTTATACTATTTTGCGTATAGTTCGAATGATTCGGAACAATACTGTTTATTTCACTAGTTATAATAGGGAAAGATTTATAAATAAATCTCTAATTTTCTAAAACTTTTATTTAATCTAAACTTTTATTTAAAATTCTATGTGTCATCATTAGTGATTATGCAAAGTGAAAACTATTGATATAAAATAGACAACTATGAATAAAAAGGTAAAAACTAGTTATTAACTTTATAGATAGACTATTGAAGACATAAAATGCTATGTTATGTCATTTAGAAAAATTAATTATTAATTTATAAATCTTT